GTAGAGAGAGTGGGAGATTTATACATAAATACATACATATATACATACAATGAAAGTATATATATTTTATGTACTTTTTAATTTTAAAAGTTATTTTTTATTTGCTAGCAATAAAATAATGTCTCTTTTAAACAGGTACTTCCGAGTCAAAGGCAGGGCCAAAAAACTAAACTTTATGATGTATGGGTTGCCCTTAACAAAGTTGACGGATGGATACTTACTGGAAATTGCACATGCATGGCAGGGTAATAAATTATTTTTAAAAAACTATTTATAACATAACTTTTCATTTTTAACATATGCTAAATAACCTATATTAATTTTTTAGTCTTGGATCTGTATGCAGCCATGTAGCAGCTCTTCTATTTAAACTAGAAGCATGTGTTAGAATTCAGGGAAATAAAGTTGCAGTTACTAGCAAACTTTGTGTGTGGAACAGATCTAGAAAAAAAGCAGAACCATCAATGCTACAAAACATTAATTTTAAGCGACCAATGAAAAATCAACTACCTTTTTCAACACAAAATATCAAAAATCCTAAAAGAAATTACTCATTTTCTGAAAATGTTGTTAAGTTTAGCAATAATAGTTTACATAAACTCAAGGCAATTGCCCCAGAAGCAGCTTTTTTTACAAGTGTAGTTGGTCTAGCACCAACTACAATATTTGATCATAGTTTTAGTGACAATACTGCAACTGCTGATGAAAACAATACAAATTTTTTACCAGAGCCAATTACTTCTTTGTTTGACAATGATGCAAACAATCTTGACAAATCTTTGCTTGAAGAATTTTGCTTATCCAAATTTAATGAATACAAAAACAGTTATTCTCAATGCAACTTTAACTTATTGGCAGAAGTGAGTAAAACTCAAAACCTGTCGAATACATGGAAATTATATCGAGCTGGTAGAATTACAGCATCCAATTTCCATGAAGTTATAAATAAAAAATTACAAAATTCAAAACCTTTGTTATTCAAAATAATGAACTATGTAATTTCACCAAATGTAGCAAGTGTTATTTATGGAAGAGAAATGGAGGACAAAGCACGTTGTTTTTATATTAAATTATTAAAAAAAAATCACAACAATTTCAAATTAGAAACAACTGGTATTCATATCCAAGCTAGTTATCCATATTTAGGAGCATCGCCAGATGGAATTATTCAATGTACATGCCACAATAAAGGTTTAGTCGAAATCAAGTGTCCCTACAAATATCGTGAAGGTTTAAATGGTTGGAAAGAGGATAAAGATTTTCCTGTATGTGAAAATGGCGATTTAAAAACAAGCCATAAGTATTATACCCAAATACAAGGACAAATGATGATTTTAGATGTAGAATTTTGTGACTTTTTTATTTGGACACCCTTAGAAAGTGAAGGAAATTACCTACTAGTTAGAGTTTATCGAGATGAAAAATTTATTAATGAGATAAAGCAGGCATTACACAAATATTATTTTACATACATTTTACCAGAAACTGTAACAAGAGAAAATGATATTTATTATAGCAACAAGCAGAAAAACTATTGCATTTGTAAACGCCCATGCTTTAAACCAATGATTGCATGTAATAAACCTAGTTGTGAAATTGAATGGTTTCACTACTCATGTGTTAATGTAACTCGTGCTCCTAAAGGAATTTGGATTTGTCCAAATTGTTTAAAATAATATTTTGTACTATTTAGTTTGAAAATAAAAATTTATTATTAGACATTTTTTATTTCTGTACTACAATTTTATTTAAATTTATAAGTCCAGCTACTAAAATCATTATACTATCAAGTAAATCAACCTGGCTTACAGGTATAGTTGATGTTAATAGTTGGTATTTTTTTAAACGCCCAATAACTCTTTCTATATGGATTCTCACACGAGCAATTTGACGTGATAAATCAATGTCTTTTACAGCCATTTGACTTTTACTTTTTGTAAATGCTGGTATTATTAAAACAGCTCCTCTTGTTGCTAATTCTTCTTCCACTAAAAATCCTCTATCAGCTAAAATACAATCTCCGTAACAAACTTTATCTAAAAAACCTGACTCAATTGTGATCAGTTTGTCTGATGCTTGACCACCCCATCCAGATGATAAAAAACTTACAGCACCAGCTGGTGTTATTCCAATTAAGTATTTAATGGTATTACGTGATTTATAGGTAGAGTAGGTTTGAGCCCTAGCTGTTAAGTTATGTGGCCTTTCTATAAATATTTCAGTGCAGTCTATTATACATACACAATTTTTAAAGTTTGTAAAACAACATGGCAAGTTTGCTCTTATAGCAGCTCGTTCAGGCCACACAATTAAATTGCACAATACATTGGCTAATTGTTTTATCCATAAGCGAAATATTTTTGATATGACTCCTTCACTAATGTTAAATCTCAAAGCTAAATCTTTATTTTTATGTCCAAGTCTTAACTTCATTAATACAATTAATAAATGGTTTTCTAAGGACATTGTTTTAACAATAGGTTTGACACAAGATTTAACTTCTTGCAAAATCCATTCAAACAAAGCTGGTTTGGTAATTCCAGTTAAAAAGTTTAATGCTTTTTCTTTAATATTAAAATAATCAATTATCTTCTCCTTTGTAAACTTTAATTGTCTTTGACATATTTGTAACTTTTGCTTCAATTTTTGTATTTCAAATATCTTTTTTCTCAAAGTTCGTTTTAGTTGTTTTTCTTTTGTTACAAATACTTCAGTTTGTGTGCCTAAAATTAAAAATATGCAAATAATACTTTATGCTTATATTTTACAATACTAATAATATTTTATACTAATATGCAAATAATACTACTAATAAATTCTTCAAAAAAAATTTTTTTTTTTTAAACAATTAGTTTAAAAGTTAATCAACACATAAGTTATATATCAGTGACACCAATTAAGATAAATTTAATTTACAAATTTTTTGTTCTTTTTTTACCTATTTCAACAGCTCTTTGGGTTATCTCGTTTTCTGAAGGACAATTTAAACATTCCCTTTCAACCAACTCATTAATATTTGTCTCGTTAAATGATCCAACCTCGTGGATCGGTGATAATATAGACTCATTACTAGAAAGAGTTCGCTGCCTTTTTTTTGATCGCTCATATCGTTCTAAAGAAGCTTTAATTTGTTTTCCATGTGTCTTTTTAAAAGAAAATACAGTTGGAACATAATCAATATGACAGGGATCATCAGATTTTTTCCCTAAAAAAAGATGATTATCAGTTAATACATAAGTAAGAATACTTAAAGTTTTAAGAGTTTATTTTTTATTATTTTAATTTAAGTATAACAAATACATGAAAACTATTAGAACACAAAAAAACTGAATGGAAAACTAAAAATCTTACCTGTAGTAAAATGAGCACTACACAAACGAGCATTATTTATTTGTTTTACGTTCCATTTTTCTCTTTTAATTGCTGCAACCCATTTGTCTCTTCTGTTAGCACCAGATTCAGATTTATTAGTTGGTATTCGATAAAAGCTCAAATGAGCATTAGCTAATGTTCTTCTATTTGTACATCCATAGGCACAACACACGTCAGGCATATTATTTTATAAATATAAATGATTATTAAAAAAACTTTGTATAAATTAAACCTTTAACTCCTATATTATTAAAAGACGCTAATTAATATTTACTGTTTAGCTTTAAAATCGATTTGTTTTGACTGCCAAAGACGCGCGCATGCGCATTTGTTTCGAAAAATCAAAACAACGAAAAGGGGTCTATAACAATAAAACTTATGAATAAAAATACACTAACCATAGGTAACAGGAGGTGGAGGTTGTATTGGAGTAGCAGGTGACAAAAGATCAGGAGTTCGATCGGTGCGACTTGTAGTGTGCTTTTGATACAGTAGACTGCTATTCATGTCATTAGACAAGTTTTTGACACCAGAAGTATGGGATTCATCTCTATGATGTAACACACTATTTAAACACTTTTTAAGCAAAGAAAAACAATAACTTTCTTAATTTAGATTTTAAATTATTTGATTATATTAACTTTTTCCATTAAAATTTTAATTAATCTTAATTAAGATTTGAATAATATCTTCTAAGATTCAAAGTCTTTTTCATCTTTGAGTCTTAGAAAATCACTTTCCTTTGCTCTTTAATTTTTGTCTTTCATCTCCCCTGTACTAAACATGCATACAGCTCCTCATTTTCCTACAGATAGTTCGTACTACGCTTACGATACGTTCGTACTACAGATAATTCGTACTACGATTGTATTACATGATCATTGACTTGATCATTGATCTCACATGATCATTGATCTCACAATGTTATATATCTTTTATATCATTTTTCTTCTTTCATATCATTCTTCTTTTTAACCCTCTTATTAGCTTTTAGGTATTTCAACACCAGCAAAATTCCACAAATTTATTTGTGATTGAGATTGACTTAAAGTCAATGTCTTTTTTCAGCTAACAAATTTAATGTATTTAACTTTTTAATGTATTTAGCTTTCCAAGACAACTACTTTTTTTTAAATACAAGATTTAGTCATCTGAGAGCTTTTGCATTAGACAAAAAAATAAGAAAATTTTTTCTCTATCTCTTTTGTTTCAAATCATATTAATTTTAAAACTAAACTATTTTCAAACTATTTTTCCTTCTCAATAATCCTTAAGACTGAGAGGACCACTACAGTTGTGACTTTTTTTTTTTTTTGAGTTTAGAAATTTTTCTATTACTAAAGCTATTTAACAAGTATCTTTGTTATGTGTTACATGTTATCTGTGTTATGCTTTTTTTGCTATGTAAAACCGCTCAATTAGTTTCCTTACCATTATTATAAAAAAGTTTAAATCAACTAAAATTTAGTGTATTGCTTTTGGTGCGTTAACAAAAATTTAGTATATCACTTTTGGTACGCCAACAAAAATTTAGTATACCGTGTTTGGTACGTCAACAAAAATTTAGCATATCACTTTTGGTACGCCAACAAAAATTTAGCATATCACTTTTGGTATGTCAACAAAAATTTAGTATATCACTTTTGGTATGCCAACAAAAATTTGGTACATTATGTTGAATATGAGCTGAAATTTTGCCAATTGTTTTTTGTTCAACTGATTCTTTGTTAATATTTTATTGTGTATTTGCTGTAATATTTTATTGTAAATGAATATTATTTTTATGAATATTATTATTATGTTATGCATATTATGTTTTAATTGTAAATTTTATGTAATGTTTTTCTTTATTCAAATAAATCTAAAGATTTTCTAAGCATTTTATCTTTGATTCCATGTTTTTTTACAATTTTTAATTGACAATTTAATACTGAAATGTAAATGAAAATATCATATATTACAGTCATGATAAAATCTCAGAGTATTTTTATTTGCAACCTGCTCAATAGATTTTTATTTAACTTCTAATTTTAAATATCTGAACTTAATCTCAAAATATGTGTTAAGCGGGTGATGCAAAAGTTATCAAACAAATTTTTATTTAATTTTACTCCTAATGAAACAATCACGTCTGATCATTAAACAATCATGTGGTCTGATCATGAAACAATCACATGGTCTGATCATAAAAATCTATGAAATGTTTATTTTGTTATCCAAAACAAATTTTTTTAAAATAAGATTAAATGCAGCAAAACAAGATGTTTTTGTAAAAAACATCTCGTTCTGCAAAAAATTATGGTTTTTAAAAAAAACCATAATTTAAAAAAAAAGTGTAACCATTTATCATTTTGTAAAAGAAGAAATTGCACAAAATACAATCTATGATAACATAACAAGATTGGTAATTCATTTTCTTATTAAAGTGTTTTGGTCATCCAACATCCTGGAATAAAAACTTTTTGATCAGCTCTATAACACAAAATCACTTCTGGTGATCAATTTAAAAAAATACTTTTGTTTTGCAGGTGATAAAATGCCTTGAAATTTTGGATACTACACAGACATCAAAGAAACATGCCAAGAAAATGTTCACTTGTGGGAAAAACGAAACTTCCAAAAAAAGAGTGAGCTATTGTTTCGTACTTCCAAATACATTCATTTTTTTTGATGTAAAACAACATGATAAGGTTGTTTTACATCAAAATAAATGAATAAAATTGGTCAAAATAAATGAATGATTCCAATCCAACAAATGCACCTCAATTATGACCAATGGAGAACTTTTAGGGGCACTTGCCTCAAAAGGTTTGAAAAAGATGTTAGAAAATCTGATAAGAGAATATGATTGAAGGTCGGTAATCAGAGTTTTGGCTTCATATCGAGACAAGAATAAATGTTAATATCATCAGCGAACAATACAACCTTGATGTGAGAAGTTCTGGGAGATCGTTGATGTAAATTGAAAAAAGTATAGGGCCATAGATAAAACCTTGAGGAACCCCTGAAGTTATAGGAAATGAAGAAGAGTGCTGTCCATCGAGGACAAGCTTTATACTACATTTTGGTAAGGAAGGATTCAATAATTTTAAGATGTTACCTGATACACCGTAAGAAGAAAGCTTATGGAGAAGACCAGTATGCTAAACTTTATCAAAGGTTTTAGAAATGTTGCAAGCCTTAACCTATCAGTTATTGTTAATAAACCAGCAGTAGAACAAGAAGATCAAAATCCATAAGAAAGATCAAAAAGTAAGTTATTAGATTCTTGAGAGTGCGTTTGTTAATTAAAGACAAAAAAACCCTGCTTATGATAGGAAAAAAAGTAACGGAATAGTAGTAAGGCAAGTCAGATCGCTCTCTAGAATTTTTAAATATAGGGTAACAGATTTTCTAGAAGTCTCTTAAGCCTAATTTTTTAGATGAAATACAAGAATTTGTGACCTGATAATAGTGGCTTCAGGGTTAAACATAATCTTTTTACAATAGTTTATACATAGATTATCCTGACCATATTTTAAAAATCCGGAATTTTTTTTCCTTAATTATCCGTAAAAAATCCAGAATATACAAAAAGATGTTAACAAGGAGAGAGGCGTGCTCTCTTCCATTTTTTAATATTTTTTAATATTACTATAATATTACGCCAGTTCAATAGTATCCTTATTCACTGTATCTATGAATAAAAAACTACATAAAATTTTCATCAAAAAAGAAATAATAATGATAAAATTTTAACAATAATAATAAGAAAAAGCCAAAGAAAAAGTAGAAGACTATATTTAAAAGCTGTTAAACAATGCGGAAACTTTTTTAGACAAGCACTTATACATTTAAATACATAATGGATAATAAATTATTGCTTCAATTGACCAAAGACATACAATTAGATAAACATTTAACGCGTTATTACAGATCAAAAGCTAAAATATAACTGAAATCCCATGGGCATTATTAAAACATAACTGAAATCCCATGGGCATTATTTATTTTAGCGTTTTGGTTTTTATGTAGTAATTTTACAAAATAAACCGACATTTATACGACACTTTTGCTTGCTAACTTCTTTCAGTAAACATTTTACCTGTAAAACACCAACTTTTGGAAAATATAAATGAATTTTATTTTTACTATTTTTGGGAGCATACTCCAATCGCAGTAAAAAAAAAAAAAAAGAACTAATAATAAAAATAAAACACCAGACTTCTAAAGTACAAAAAATAATAAATCTTTAGTATTAAACTTAAATAATTTAGTTAAACAAAAAAAATAAAATAAAATAAAAGTAAAGTAAAAAGATATTTAATTATTTTTCTGTAATCAGTTAGTTTTCTACAATAAGTTCTTCCACACAGTGCTTAAGATGTTTAAAACTTAATTTACAATACAACGACTTCTTCTTTTATAAAAAAATTTCCTTGCTATAAAATTAAAAAAGTTTAAACGTTTGTTAGATAAAGTTTAAGGAAAATCTTTAAATTTATTTTAACTATGATAAACAAAAGTACAACATAATTATATTATAACAGATAACAAAAGATAACATAATTATATTATAGTGGTTGAGGTAAATCAAAAACGAAAAAAATTTCTTTAAACTAATTATTTCTTTTTCTTTACTTTATCATGAATGATGTCATAAACAAGAAGACTTGATGTAGAAATGTTTTTGGCAATTCAAACAGTTAAATTTAATTTGCGTTCAAAGAAAAGCAACTTTATAACCCAATACCATCGTCAAAACCTTTTAAAGTCTCCAATTAATAAGAAGTCATGCAAAAATATGATACTTTCAAAAAGTGTGTGCGAGAAGAGATTTGCAATGATAAGACTGGACAGAAAACGAAATAATGGTGAAATAAATTTTGAACCACCGACAAACATACTGAGAAAAGTTTCTGTTCATAAGCAAAGTGATTAACTTAAAAAAAAAAGCTATAAAACTAATTTTATAGCTAAAAGACCTATTTAAAAGATGTAAATTTACAATTTTTTATAAAAAGAGAAGAGTTTGACACTCATCGCTAATTTTATTTTAAAAGTAGGAGATCATTCGCTCATCTGCGCTGGGATTTTTATTAAATTTCAATTAAAATGCTTATTAATTTTAATTTCCTCTGCAAGGGAAATCTTTTTGGCTTTGTTTGTTAACTAAATATAGCGTCCTGTTATTTATGGACAACACATTTGCTGTTTATATATTCTTGTTACTGTTTCATTTGATGACAGTAACAAGAATATATAAACAAATAAAAATTAAAAAAAAACAAAAATTTTATATATTATGTTTTCGAAAACTATTTAATTATCCGGAAAATGTAAAAAATGTAAAAAATATCCGGATTTCCGGAAATATCCGGAAAAAGATAATTTCTGTTTATAGCAATAGTAAACAGGCGTCTTTTCTAGAAAAATGTTTTCGTGATAGATATGGAAGTAATGGCTACAATTGGAAATTGCAGCAGCACAATTAGAGGTAAATCTTGGAAAAGAATGAGGCTTGACTTGGAATTGTCGAGAGGGAGTAAATGATTCCATGCCAGCCTGAATTCAAAAAGTTACATAAGAAACACAATTTTCAGCAGGAAGACAAAAAATTTCTACCCAAGGACCATTACAAAGAAAATCATAAAAAATTCCCAGTCAGGTTTAAGGTAGTTGTAAGAGGTGCCATGATAGAGGGATTCTTATGATGAAGAAGAATGAGATAATAATTTTAGAGAGATCAAACCGTGATCAGAAGCACCTAAGGGTAATTATGGAGAAACTGAGCACTGACTAGGTTAAGAAGCAAGATAAGTCAAGTAGAGAAGATAAATGATTTGGATTGTCTGAAAAGTGAGTTGGAAAGTTGACTATTTGTGTTAGAGATTGAGAAAGGCAAAAGTTGTGGGCCTTAACGCCTGCAGAGTCACTAACACTAGAGCCAAGCCATTCAGTGTGATGAGCATTATAGTCACCAACAACAACAATATTGGCTGATGGATAAAAAAAGAGGGCTTAGTTAATATGATCAGAAATAACATCAAAAAGAGTACAATATTGAGATGAAGAAGAGCGATATAGAACAAAGAGTGAAATGTTGCTAAACAAAAGCTTAAAAAAGAACAGTTTGTAGATTCAAACCTAATTTCCCAACAAATGGGTGAATTCTTAAAAATGTAAATGCCCAGAATAAGCATGTGACTATTGGAATCTTTACAAATTAAAGGAAGATAACCATCAACATTAAGATCATAAGATAAGACAAGATTGAATTCAAATTAGTCTCACAAAGATCAAGTAGGTCTGGTGAACTTTGCAAGAGGTAAAACTCAACAGAAGAAAAGTTTCTTTGAAGGCCACAAATATTAGTGAATGTTAGATTTAAAGAAGTTAGTGATGACAACGGTTTTTTATGTTTAAAGTATCAAAAAATATAGTTTTTGATACTTTAGTTATTTTTAAAATTGGTTAAAGAACTTAACTCAAAGCACAGATATCAAATAGACAAAGCAATTGCCTCATTACTATTAAGAAACCTTAAACCATAACAAAGGCTCCAAATGTGGTCTCAACAATGCACACCAAAAGAACGAACAGGGACACCATTTATGTGCAACATGGCACTGTTAGCACTCTAATATTTTACTACTGTTGATGAAATCAACCTCTCTAAAGCTACCAAAGAGTTTGGGAAATCTGATTACCAGCCGGCCTCAGAACCATAAAACTAAGTTTAAGTGCTGTACCCTCATTACGAGTATTTTTATCAAGACAATATTTGTAGCCTTTACTCAACCAAGAGCCCCAAGGAAGGGGGTGTACTAAGTCAGAACTAGCATCTCCACGCCTTTGCCTTAAAAAGCCTATCCTACAAGGCAGCAGGACATGAAACTTGTAATTAGTAATTAGCAAAACATCAAATTAAAATTTAAAAAAATTGAAATTTTTACAGTTTTTTATAAAAAATGTCAAAGCAAAATTGAGATCTATAGATACAATAGATTTCAATTTTGATAATAGATAATAATAGACAACAGATTTCAATTTTGAGGATTAGTTCATATGAAGCTTATAATAATAGCAATAATGTTTAAAAGTTTGTGAAAGAAAAAAATGTACTTCCTTTGAATAAAAGATTTGCATTTAATTTAGTTTTCATACAAGAACTAACTGATTTTTATTCACAAATAAATACTTAAGTTTATAAAAAAAATCCTAACAGCTTTTTATTAGTTGTTAATAAGATATTTAAGTTTTTATTTTATCCAATAACTTATGTATCAACTCTTATTAAATATGATTTTTGTCTTTTTTTTGCTTGTTCTTTAAATCTCTTTGAGTAGGAATGTTTTTATATTATTTTCATATTTTTACTATTATCATAGTAGCTACCAATCACCAGGTTCAAATAAGTTTAAAATTCTGGCTTGCAGCCCTGTTTTAGGTAAATTTGTAGCAAAAAAAAAGACAAACAAAAAACATACCTCCTCTGTATGGTAAGAACTGTAGTATCTTTGGTTGCTTGAACTTCTGCACCCTAAAAAATGATATATTTTTGTAGAGCAACTTTAAGAAAGATTTTCAGAAAAGAAAAAAAATCTTTGGATAGAATATGTAGACCTTAAAAAAGTTTTTGATAGAGTACCAAGAGAGGTAATGTGTGGGCTTTTAGTTATTTAGGTGTTGAAGAAAGGCTAGTTGTCATGGCTATATATGGAAATATCACAGCAGCAATTGCATCAAAAGAAAGTGTTTTAATGTGAATGTTAGTGTGCATCATTTTAGTACTCAGCCTAGAAGAAAAATTACTAAAATTTCAGTGTTGGATAAAGCAAAAGGATGCAAAATAAACATAAATAAGTCAAAAGTTGTGCATTGTGAAGACCAAATTGTGAAAATCAAAAATGACCAAGTAAAAAATAAAGAAGAATAGAATTTAAATCCAAAAAAATATTTTAATATAAACCATGATTTAAATTAAACTTAAATTAACTCGGTAATACAATGGATATACAAGGCGCTATTAGAGTACTTTTGTTGAATATAGAGAAGTGAATAAATAATAGTGAAAAGAGCGTGTTGGCAGGTTTTCTTTTCTTGGAAATTCATTTGGATCAGCTGACAGAGCAAAAGAGGAATCAAGAGCAATAGTAAGGTGTGCCTAAACCAAGATCAGAAAACTATTTCCACATAAAAACAAAAACAAAAAGTAGATTGTTTAATATGCATCATGTTGATACCTAATCATCAGCAAATAGCAGATGATTGGGTATCAACTCTCAACTTTGAAGAGAAAATATAAACAAACCTACACATTATAATTTCAAGTTTCCAAAATACTAGTTATTAATATTGCCAAATATCTATCTTAAATTCAAAAGTTTGTAATAAAGAACAAATCCACTTGACCACACAACAACTCTAGACTTCAACTTAAGACTTATGTTAACCATTATGTTGCAACAATAATTGAAGGGAAAAAATGCAAAACACATTTAGCTGTAAGAAAAAAAAATGAGTTAATTCCATTTCTATATTCTATATACTGAAATTTATCATTTATTTAAATAGTAGTTCTAAAAATATAGAAAATATTAAAAAAACATTTTCTAAATATACTTAATGAAACTGGACAGCTTTAAAACTACTCAATCAAATGAGTAACGTTATGTTTTTTTGAATAGAAAACAAAAAAATTAAATAATCAAATAATTAATTCTTTTATTCAAAGCAAAAAAAAAATTATTTTTTTTAACAAAGTCAAGTGATATTTTGCATTTATTTTATTTTGCAAATAATTTGCATTTTGCTGAGAAATTTTAAACAGTCTTAAACTTTATAATTTAAAAATTTTTAACATTAAAACTTTATAATTTAAAAAAATTTTAAACATTACTGTTGTTGTTATTTTAACCTTTACATTAATATATTTATAATTATATAAATCAATTCTTTTCATGCAATACTCTCTTGAAATAACTTTTACTTTTGCAATGCGCATTTTTGTAATGCTGAAAAAATTTTATTAAGACAAATTTATATTAAAGCTTATACTCAAGTTTATGCTCACAAAATATCAGCTCACAAAATGTCAACTCACAAAATGCCAGCTCACAAAATGTCTCAGAAAAAACTACAAAAAAGAGAGCATTTTAACTCTTTAAAAATGAAGAAATATTTCCAATTGTCTTTAAATATTCTTCTAATTGAAATTAAATATTTATAATTTAAAATAGGTCTAATTGTAAAATTACCTATTTCATGAAAAAAAAAAAAAAAAAACAGATATGGTAAAACTTGTCTACAAAATATTGCTAAATATTTCTCTTATCACAAAAATCCAAAAATAAACAGAGATGTTAATAAAAAGAGCAAATTCAGAGTTAAGTAAAAGGCTGTTATAGACAAAGAGTTTTCCTTAAAAGAAGAGCCATTATAACAAAAGTAATTTATATAGATTTCTATTTTTAGAAAACTTTATTTTTCATTGACATTTAAAAGCATTAAAAACAAATATTAGGCAGAGAAGTAAACCAAAAGATTGCAAGGACTTCTGGGAGCATCTTAACAACCACAAAAAACTATTTTCTAAATATAAAATGGATTGAAAAGAACAATATTATTTAAATTTTTAACACAGTTTAAAATTTAATTTTAAATTTTACCTTTTAAGTACCTAAAATAAAAAAAGAATTATACTAAAATGATGCAGATGTATTTCAACTCAATTTATTGCAAGTTATTATAGATATTATAAACTTTTAGAAGTACATATGGTGTTATCATAAATTTGGTATCAGGGCTTTCTAATGTTTAATGAAACAATTTTTTAAAGAAATGTTTCTTTAAAATTTAGAAAGATCTGAAACAAAAAATAAATAACTTATAATAAACTAATAAAAATATATTTTATTAGTTTCAAACTTAATAAAGAAGAATTTTCTTGCTTATTAAATTTAAAACTTTTTTACTACCACTAAGGCATAATCTACAAAACATTATTATTAAGATGATCTAAAAAAGATTATAATCAACATGATCTAAAAAATATTATTATGGAGTTTTTAGAATGATTTTGCTTAAGTGCATTAACTAGAATTTAGTTTAAAAAACTTTTACAAAGAGTTTATATCCAATTTAGATATTAGCTCAAATCTATTCAGGTTCATATTAATTTAAAAAATATTTATCAAAATACAACATTTCCGTAAAAATTAATACAAAATTTTTAATATTATCAAGAAAAGCCTATAATTAAGAAAAACTGTCAATGACTAATAAAACAGATGACATTAAATCTACTTAAAACTACTTAAATTATACATTTTAACATAATTTTAATATATACTAGTTATATATTAATAATAATAATAATAATAATAATAATAATAATAATAATAATAATAATAATAATATAAAAACTGAAATAACTAAACTACAAAATTTTAAAAGTGTAACCAACTGAAACATAATATAACTTATAAAATATTATAGGGGATAGTTAGTAAAAAATGTTACTTTATTGTAAACTTCTTTTTTTGTGTGTGTAACAAAGTAACCAACTAAATCAAAATTGTTGTACATAGAAAATAAATCATGAAAAATAACAACATGACAATGATAAATAAACATTCATTACATTACTAAGTACATTTACTTGTATATATAAAATTTTAATCTTTTAACCAAGTATAATAAATTTGAGATGTTATGAAAAGTTTTATAGGAGACTGCTGCTACATGAATGTTTTCTTTTGTCTCAAAAAGAAACACTTTATTAAGATGTGAAAGATCAATTAGTAGGTCTTAGAAAATCTTAAATATTTCATCACAAGATTCTTCTTTTTCTTAATGTAAAGAAAACTTGAACAAGTATTATGTTCTACAGCTGTAAATAATGTTTAAAAAAATAATGTTAAAAAAAATAATGTTAAAAAAATAATAAAACTCTTTGTTCTTCTTTGTTAATTGTTTTTATTAATTAGTATTATAAGATAATTATAGATAAAAAAAAAAAATGATAATGATAATATGTCTTGCATGGTAGTCAAAAAGTTTCTTCCATAAACTGTAGTTTTAAAGAGAGCACTAATAAAGCAGACCAGAAAAAGTTTAAAAACTTCAATAATTTTTTTTTTTTTTTATGATAGACTGCCTGCCCTAACCAAACCATCAGTCAATGTAGCAGCATTCCATTGCAAGTCAGGCTATAAGATAGTCGGTGTAGCAACACTCCATTGCAAGTCTGGTTATAAGATAATTGATGTAGCAACACTCTACGCATGTTTTAAAAAAAATGTTTTTAAAAAGCAAAAATAAAAACACTATTAATTAAAAAAAGCTTTCTAGTCATTATTATTGGGGTTTTTTAAAAAATGATAAAACTTAATGTACTTCCGCATTAATTTAATTATTTTAACTTTTCTACAACAGTAAAATGTAGCTTGATTGTTGAGGTAGCAAAATTGTTGTTAAAAAAGACTTTTTTTACATTGAAAATCTCATTCAACTATAAGATAAGAATATATATATATATATATATATATATATATATATTTTTTTTTTTTTTTTTTTTTTTTTTTAAAAAAACAAACCAGAAGCAAAAAAAAAAATTCAAACACATTTTTACATTACAACATTTCCACATTTGAGTGTTTCAATTTAAATAGCTTTGCCATTATTTAGCAAATTGTGGTAGTTCAAAAAATTTAACATAAATACTTAAAAAAGCAAACTAAAAAAAATCATTTACTTATAGTTATTTATTCACTTCACTTTGTATAAAAGAATATTTTCATTAAAGAAAAATATTTAAATTAGTAAGAATATCTGCAAATATTTATTAAAAAATTCAAATCGGTATACCTTTTTGGCAAGTATTATAGGCATTTTTTGATTAGATAATACCAAAGGATTCTCTATGTTCTCTTGTCGGTCCTAAAAATATATAACAATTTTTATATAATTTGTTGACAGTACAACTTATATCATTTTTCCATAAAAATAAAATTTTTTCTCAGTTATAACAATAAACTAATTGGATTATTGTTGCAGATGTTGAATCCAAGTCTGATATTAGTTCCAATCATTTATCCAATAAAATATTTAAAAGCATGTTGACATGCTTTAAAATATCGAGATAATCATTGCAAAAATAGTCTATTGATTCTTGGTAAGAAAGTTATTTACTACAATGTATATAGATATACATGTATATGCCATATTATATGTATATAGATATATGTTTGCTAACTTTTTTTCTTACTTTACTCCATACAGTTTTTTCAGAAAGAAAAAAAAAGAATAATAATGAAAAAAATGATTGCTGCCCTTATATAACACACTCTTAGTTAATGTATCAGCACTCTCTAGCATGCTCTACCTAGATAGCCACCTTAATGTATGTAGTCTTATTAATATTTTCTCCATTATTCAATGTGGAAATATTTCTTCATTGTTAGCAGGCTTTAAGAATGGTCCAAGGAGCGGTAATGTCCAACACCTATTTTGACCCCTGTATATATATATATATATATATATATATATATATATATATATATATTTTAAACATCTTCGCTTCCAACAAGACTGCAAGCAACTACTAATTAGTGTTGGAAGTTACTTGGAGAGAAAAGATGAAGATTGTAGAGCAAGATAACGATTGACAGATGACTTAAAAGATTGCAAATTATATGAATCAGGAAAGGAAGATGAAGGAAGCGAATTCCAAAGAACTGATGTTCAAGGAAATATATAAATATATATATATATATATATATATATATATATATATATATATATATATATATATATATATATATATATATATATATATATATATACATATATATATATATATATATATATATATATATATATATATATATATATATATATATATATATAACAGAAAGAATAATTGCTTTCTATAATACCTACATTATACTTAAAATATCTAATAGTTTATCTTGTTTAATATTAGAACAAACATAACACTCTATAATTGCACTTCTTACTACTACCTTAAGATTGACTGGGATTCTATTAGTGATTTTTTTTTTTTTTTTGTTCTTTTGCTAATGTCTTTTGTATCTCCGGTGAAAATTGTAAGATTTTATTCCTCCTTATTAGCTTAAAGTAAATCCTTTTTTTACCCTATGATTTTCTCCGTGATCAGCTACTATTTCAAATCACAATGATTTCTTTCATATTTTTCACAACAATGCCATTTTATCATTGCAATGTGGTTTTATCACCTCCAGGAATAAGACAGAACATCTTACATTTGATACCTATAAAGTTATATTCAGTAACTCTATAGGTATCACAAGGTTCATCCTTAGTTCTGTGCGGTTTTTATTTATACTAATGACCTTCCTAATAATCTTACCAGGCTTATTTTACAACTGAAACTTATTTCTGTTGACACAACTATACAATCCAGTCTTAACAAAAAAGTTATAATTTAAATGTGATCTTTTGAATGTGATCTCTCTCCTGTGACATTTTGGGTTTGCAGCAGCTGGTGAATTTTAACCCAAAAGCTTAGTTGTTCACTGCTAATAAATATTGCATTATTGTTGTTACTCCTATATTGAAAATTGTTATTTTGGGGTTATTTTTTAAATGATGCCTTTTTTTCCTATAGACAAAGTTCATAAACCCTTGTATATGTAGTTAGGCGTAGTCTAGCTGCAAAACTTGAGCCTCTGTTCCATTTTCAAAAGATTGCATTTTTTCTAGTTTTTTTATTCTTTTTTTTTTTTTTTTACTTTCTGTTAACTCCCAACATAAATAGCTGCTTGCTGCAAGTATTGTCACATTGTTGACCAAGAACTAAGTTCAAAATCTTTTTGTATAACAACACCTTGGATTTGGAATAATTTATCTTTAAACACACACAACTTACCCAATTTAAGAACATTAAAAAAAAAGACTCAAGTATGAACTTTTAGACACTTTGTCAAACTAATTCCCTACTGTTTCAGTACTTTTTAACAATCACTATTTTAATTTTTGTTAAATAATGGCCCTTTGATTTCTAATTATTATTACTTATTATTATTATTGTTATTATTGCTATTATTATTATTATTATTATTATTATTATTATTATTATTATTATTATTATTATTATTATTATTGATATTAGTATTACTATTACCACTGAAGCAAAAATCAATTGATAAGTTCACTATTGTGGCATAGGGGAGGTCGGGGGATTGATGGCCTCTGGGTTAATTTTGGACATACGACATTTCTATATTTGTGTAATTTAAGTGAGATTTTTTATCTGTACTTGTACTTATGTTCTACTAGAAGAACTAATAATTGGTCCTAGTTCTTGGTTCTTCCATAAGTGGCGCTAGTTGTCTTATGTTGTTAACTGTCATTAACGTATTAAAAAGAAAAAGAATTATTGTGTTATTAAGTATATAAATGTTAAAGACGTTGACTAAATAACACCAATAATAAGAAACAAAATTATTCTAGTTTTTAAATATATATAGTGTAAGTATCTTCTTATTTGCAAATATGTTTTTATTTTTGTTCATAAAAATTGATTCATTTTGGGGTTATGATACCATTTTATAAGGGACAATCATGGCCATATAAAATGGCTAGAAAATAGAAAAGTCTTTAAATATTTGTTTGGTTTGTAGGGAATTCGGTAAAAACCGAAAATGGTGGGTAAACTGTGCTACATGTGGTGACTGGGCCCACAAAGACTGTACAGATCTCCTCCATAAAAACGATAATTACATTTGTGACTATTGTATTTAATAGTAATATTGTACTACTTATTTTTATTAATTCTTTAACTCATAAACTAATTCTCTTAAACTCTTATAAAACTTATTTTTAATACTTATTTTTCTTGTTTTCATTATTTGTATTCAACAAAAAAATTGGGGTAATGCTGACCAAGCAGCTACAATTGCCCCAAGGTTATGGGGTAATACTGGCCATTTTATTTAATTTTTTTCTTGTAATAACACATTAATTATTTTTTGTACGTATTTGACAATAAAGTACTTTATAATATACATTGTAGTAATTCTTCTTCCAAAGTTACAGCTCAGACCATTATAAAACAACCCTAAAAATGGTAAAAAACCTTAAATGGGCACCACTCCCCTGACCTCCCCTACACATAATGCATAAGCTATTTAAAAAAAAAAATTAAAGCATATATTAATGTAAGCATATATTAATTAATGTATTCAAAAAAAAAAATTAAAGCATATATTAATGTAAGAAATTTTTACAAAAAAAATTAAATTCTGAAAAAAAGGGGAAAAGTCAAAAATAGTGTCTATTAAAAATAATGACATGTTCTATGCCTACATGTATATAATCATCAAATTCAGAATCATACTTTAAATATTCTTGTGTCTCGTTCTCTTCTTATTCTTTCTCTTGGTTTACGATCTTTCCTGCCTGTTCCTCCTCGTCCCCTTTCTCCTCGCCTGTTATCTACACGAGCTCCTTTGTAATCATCTTCATAATCTGCTTCCATGTTTATCGAAGTGTTGATTTATGGCAGTTTTCTCTTTATAATATTTTTTGTTTTACCTATTTATATTACATCTCTTTATTTATAGTTCTATGAAAAATCACACATTTACAAAGATATTTATGCAAACTGTATCATTTATGCAAACTGTATATGTATGTATGTATGTATGTATATATATATATATATATATATATATATATATATATATATATATATATATATATATATATATATATATATATATATACATATATATATACATATATAAATACATATATATACATATATATATACATATATATATGTATATATATAAATATTAAATATATATATACATTTAATATTTTATATATATATATATATATATATATATATATATATATACATATATATATACATATATATATGTATATATATAAATATTAAATATATATATATATATTTAATATTTTATATATATATATATACATATATATATACATATGTATATGTATATATATATAAATATTAAATATATATATATTTAATATTTTATATATATATATATATATATATATATTTAATATTTTATATATATATATATATATATATATATATATATATATATATATATATATATATATATATATATATATATATATATATATATATATATATATATATATATATATATATATACACACAGATTTAGTAATAACTAAATATTTACGTATTTTTAATGGTTATAATAACCTTTAGTTATTCTTTTAAATAACCTTTAGTTATTCTTTTAAATAACTCCATTTATGTAAAACACTTTATATAACATCTGATGATCATTAATTACTCACTTGCATAAAAATCGAAGTTATGTTTTACAAAAATTGAGTTAATTTGAATGTAACTATTTAGTTCATATTATAATATTTACTTTACTTTTGTATTAAGCATTCTTAACCAAAAAAAATTTGACTACAACTTAAATTGATCTAGAGAGACCACCTAAACACAGAATTTTGCAGCAAGTCTCAAAAAAGATTTTGCAAGGTTTTAGCTACTACACAGGAATTTTATTTGTTAACGGCTTTTAATACAATTAGTATTATTATATACAGCTTTTGGAAAAAAATGAGGCAAGTTAGTTTTAGAAGTTAGGCCTTTCCAAAGTAATTTAAATTTTTGTACTGAAAAATTAGTGGACATTTTGATAAAAGAAACACTTTTGAAGTGAATATTAAATGTTTTATGGCACCGAAAGGGACTTTTTAGGTTGTTTTTTTTTTAAATAACTTAAGAATGATATTTAAATCGTTATTAAATTTGGCTTGAAATTTTCCGCATTGATCTAAAAACATTAGAAAAAATGAGTTCAAAAATATTTTTCAGAAATGCATTACAGACATACATTTCTGATAGGTCTAAAAATGTATAACAGACTATTAATTATATAATATTGTGCCCCAATTAAATTACAGACTCAATTGTATATTAGGTTTAATCGACTCAATGTATTTAGTTGGTTTTGCAGTTTAAATTAGGGTTTGCGTTCTTTTGGATGACTTTTTTTTTGAATCATCTAAAAATAAACCTTATTTGAATCATCTAAAAGAACGCTAACTAAATTTAAAGGTTATACATGTTTGTTTTTTATAGGCATACGTAGTTCAATGACGTAAATAAATAACTAGATGTCTGACTTGCTTACTATTTTAATCGGCCATTATTATATTAGGTAAAAAAAAGGAATATATCGCATAATATGAGTGGATCAAAATTGACTTTTTTCGGATTTAGTGTAGTTTAAACAATTTACTTAATTAATTTTTTATGGTGACTTCGAATTACTTAACACTTTTTTTTCATATAAATATTTGACCTTCTACTTATCTTTCAATAAAAGCAATTATTTTGACAAAACAATCAATTGTTAAATTAAATGAAATCATTATTATAGTCAAAGTAGAATCTGTGGTAAAAAAATTTTATTGGTTTTATAAATAAAATACGTAATGCTTATGTGTAGTTATAAATACAACAAGAAATTAAGTGTTATACATAAAGTTACTCCATATAAGAAACAATTTGTAAGTTCTTTCTCAGAATCAAGAGAATTTCAAGAGTTCTTTCTCAGAATCAAGAGAGTTTCAATGTAGGCTCTGACCAGATCAGCGTAAGAAAAGATGTGTAAACTTTTTAGTTAAATTGCTAATCCACTTTGCTTTGTGATAAGACGCTTAATCCTTTTTGGAGCACCTTAACAATTATAAAAAAAAGTCATCGTTGATGATTGTGAATTGTTGTGAGGACTTTTCAAGTAGAAACTTTAGATTACTATCTTATTTTTCTGTAGACATAAGACGACGTTTTTTTTTTATTTTAATGGATCTTAACTGCAATGATTTACTATTTTTTGATTATAACTAAAATAAACACCTCATTCATTAATCGTTTGAAATTTAGCTTATCTTTCTGTTTTTCAATATATTTATTGACATTTGATTCGTAAATAAATGGGCCTTGTGATTTCAACTAAGCTAAGATATAATATCTCTTAAACGCCTAATGTAAAGCTTACAGTTCTTTTTTTTTTTTTTTTTTTTGATAACCTGCTCTGTCTCAGTTATTTTTGTCACTGGTTCCAACTGTATTTTATATTTTTAAATTTTTAACAATGAGACACTTTCCCGAAATATTTCTAAATTACCTAAATCTTGATATTACAATGATATTTAAGTATATTACCACGAGGAGTTTCTGTAATGGTTACAGTTCGATTACAGTGTAATCGACGGGTTTTTTTCCGAATTTCCGAAGCCGATTGCCATGAGTGCCACACTGACGCTTTGGTTCAATGTTATTTGAAACTGTTTTATAAATTGCAAAAACCTGATTAAAAAGTAATACATCAGTTATTCCAGTATTGTATCCTTTCTCCAAACCCATAATACTTTCTTATTTTCTGTTCAAGAAAGGATGCTAAATTTTGATAAACTATTTGCAAGAATGAAGAGGGAGGTTTCTAAATAAGTTTATTAATTTTGATTTATTTGTTTACTCGTTTATGATTTATTAATTTATTAGTTTCTTACTTCTTCTTGCAATAATTTTTTTTCAAAATTCAGTTAACAAAGTTAATAGAAAAGTATTTTTTAGCGAAGTAAATCAAAACAAATGTTTGCACTTGATAAGACTTATTTTTGTTTAAACGCAACATTCATTCATTTTAATTCACAGTTATCCACGGTTAGCATGGATCCTTATAATGCCTACCTAACTGTCCCAAGAACGCCACTTATACGGAAAGTTTATGTACGGAAAATTTATATGGAAAGTTTATGTACTTATACGGAAAGTTTAAGTATGGAATATACACTTATACGGAAAGTTTATGTACTTATACGGAAAGTTTAAGTATGGAATATACACTTATACGGAAAGTTTATGTACAGAAAATTCATTTACGGATTTTGTACTTATTCTATGAAACTTTGAGTAATAAATAATGAACTTAACTATATATAAACAACAATTATATATAAAAAATATAAAACTACTTAAAAATTAGAACTAAATAAAATTACTTAGATATTAAAATTTAAAAAAAAAAATTCAAATGAAGATTTGAACCTTCAACCCTAATGGAAAAATGACATACATACAAGTACGCAAATATTTATCGTTATAAAAATTAAAGTATTTTAATACTTATTTTGCGTACAAATGAAATTTTTATAACGTAAACATTATTTGCATGCACGTACAAATAATAACTTCCTAATAGGATTGCACAATTCACAATATAGATAAAATAATATAAAATTAACAAATATAGAATTATTAACATTAGGTACGTAGCATGAAAATTTTAAATAAGTTAAATATTATATTGTTATATATCATTGTGAAGAGCTTCAATACAGCATTTTAAAAGTGAAAAAGTGATCGAAGTTGAGCAATTTGACGAAAGGTTATAACGTTTTAAGTACCAAATTTTCGATATATGGGTTTGTTGAAAAAACTGTGGTCAAAATAATATTCTCCTCGACTAAAATCATCATAAATTTGTCAATTCTTATCTAAATGCCTAACTTGGTATCAAAAGATAAGTGTTAAAATAGGCTACAAATTCATATTGGTCGCTAGTCATAGGGCGTATCAAGAGGGGCTAGAGGGGGCACCAAACGAACAACTTACCAGCTAATAAATGCAAATTTTATACATTAAAGAGTGATTTTTTGTGAAAATTATTAATTTTTATATGCAAGAAGTAGTTATAAATTGCTTTAGACCGTTGCCAAGTATGAGAAGTTTATTTTTGTGTTATGGTTGTGTTATTTATTTTTTCATATATTTCTTTAGGTTTATTTCATATATTTCTTAGGATTCTTTATTTACGATTTATTTTTTAGTTTTGCTGTTATGCGGTATTGTAGTAATTTTTTTTCTTTAGTTTTTAGCGTATTAAGTTTTACTCCATATATTTTGTTAGTCATTTACTGTTTTATTTTTTAGTTATTAATTATTTTTAAATAGTGATATATAATTTTTTATACAGTTATATATTATTTGTTTTTATTTTCATTTTAGCTATTTATCATATATGTTTTATTCTACCATATTAATATATACCGTAATATTATATATTTTTCTTCTTTATTTGTTGTTGTTTTTAGTTTTTATTTTATGTTGTTGTTTTTTTATTGTTTTTTTTTGTTGTCAAAAATATTTAACGTAATTTTTTGTTTTGTTCTTAATGTTTGTTGTATTTTTTGTTTTGTTTTGATTTTTTAAGTGTTTTTCTGTTTACATCTTATTTAATTAGTTTCTGTTTACATTTTTATTTATTTATTATTTGCAATATATTTTGGTTATGATCAGTGCCGGATCATGGGGGGGAGGGCAAATTTAGGGGCCCCCAAAAATTTTAAAGGACCTTTTTTTTTTTTTTAGTCATTTTTAGGCTCTGGCCAATAAAAAGGCCTCCAAAAACAAAAATAGCCTCGGGCCCCAAGATGTCTTAATCCGCCACTGGTTATGATATTATAAGAGCTATTTAGAGCAGCCGTGGCGCAGTGGTTAGAGTTCTGGCTCAGAACCCAGAGGTCCGAGGTTCGACGCCAGCTCTAGCCC